AAAAAACTTCACAGACATGTTTTGTATAGGTATGGCCCTACAATATATGTTTTCCAATATAGGTCCACTTTAATTTAGAATCAGAATCAGAAGTTTTTTGTTTTTTTTTAATAATGGGACACAGGGTTCGGTCCGGATTTGCAGTTCGGTCCGGATCCGGACCTTGGTCCGGAGTTTGAGAAGCCCTGGTATATGCAATAAATAACCACTCAGGTGCCTGTTTATAGAACTGCAAGATTAGTTGATTGGCAGAACAACTATCAACAACTATTCCGTTAAACCATACATTTTTAACGTCATTTATCAAACAGAAATGGCAGAAAATTCAGTTTTCAACCTCTCAAATATGGACATATCCTGCTTATCTAGTTTAATATCACATTATGCTCAATATCTTTTGATTTTGAACTGACAAATCAAGACACTGACATGTTTCACTAATTTCTGACGTTTTATAGAACTAATGATCTGGATAATAATTGGCTAAATGAATCGATAAGTAAAATAAATCTCAGCAGGTCATACATGTCTGAGGTCTGCAGAGTCTGCCATGCTGGGCTTCACTTCAGGCGAGAAGGCCAGCAGCTGCAGCTCCTCTGCGAAGGACAGAGAGAGTGTTTCCTCCTTTTTCTCCATCAGGTCATTCACAATGGTGCTGGAAACAAACGGCAGACACAGAAGAGTGTGAGCGCAGACAAGATGACTCAGTGTCATGATATTCATTCAGAGGATGTTTCTGTCAGGGTTACAGTGAGGCTGTGTCCCGTCTGTCCCCCAGCTGCTCTCCCAGCTCCTGGTTCTTCTGCCTGAGACACTGCAGCAGAGAAAAGGGATCAAACAGCAGCTCATCACAGAAAGACTTTACAGCAATATGTGAGAACATGTACCTCTATGATGTTGAAGTACTCTTCTTTCAATTCCTCTGAGTACTTTAACTGCAAGTTTTTCTAGCACAAACACAAATGAGAAATCATTTGATTTCAACCAAATAACAAAACAAGAAAAACATTTCATGATAAGCCTGATGAACCCAAAAAAGATAGAAAAAGATAAATATGTATGAGAAAGTCTTCACTCTTTGCTCTGCCTTGTACTGATGCCTCTGCTCCTACCTTATGAATATCATCTTCCCTATTCTGCAGCCTTAGCTCAGCCTCCTCCAATGTATGCTAAAGAAAGAAACAACATAACAAATCAGGAGCTGTTTAACAACGTTACATGACTTAAAAAGGAAAGCTTACTCCCAAAATGTCAATATACTGTAGGTGGAGTATTCCTTTTAGATAAATAGAAAGAGAAGGATAATGAAGCATCTCCAAGTTGAATCCATGGTGTTACCTTCATGGTTAGGAGTGAAACCCTGCAATTCTCCAAGCTGATCTTGGCCTGCTCTCTCTCTTGTTGGACGGCCTTGAGCTGAAACAGTCAGACTGACTTGTGGCACTTTTAAACTATATGATGACAGATTCAAGTTCTATGTCAAAAGTAACAGCCATCATACCTCTTCAGTTAGCTTCTTGTTCTGTTCCTTCATAATGGCTGACTCCTTCTCCTGCAGAAAAAAACAGGAGGTTAAAATCAATCAATCAATCAATGTGTATTTATATAGCCCAATATCACAAATGTCACATTTGTCTCAGTGGACTTCACAGTTTGTACAGAATATCAGTATGACAATACGACACCCTCTGTCCTTAGACCCTCACATCGTACAAGGAAAAACTTTCAGAGAAAACCCCACAGTTTAAAGGGGGAAATGGGAGAAACCTCAGGGAGAGCAACAGAGGAGGGATCCCTCTCCCAGAGAAAAACATCTCTACAACCTGGATGAGTAAAGACACAATTTAACATTGCAAAATATGAGGAAGTAAAGAAGGACAATATAGTGACCCCCCTAAACCTAATGCTTCTAATACCCCCAGCACTGCGAGGGGGACCCAAGATCCCATGTACACGTTGGTTTGCTATCCTGGCTCCAAAATGGTGGAATGAGCTCCCCATTGACATCAGGACAGCAGAAAGCTTACACATCTTCAGGCGCAGACTGAAAACTCATCTCTTTAGACTCCACTTCGAGCGATAGAATTACTATCAAAGCACTTATATACTAATAAAGGACTGGCTTATCTAAAGCCAGTTGAGTAGCACTTGAAATGTTTTGGCTCTAT